GTGCTGTTTTCCCTGTGAAAAATTGGATATCTGCCACATGATTGTATATTTGCAAGAAGCCGTCGTGTGACGCTCGCATTAAAATGAAAAGAAGTGCCTTCTGGAGCTCTGTGGCACATCATGCGATAGCGGTATTTGTGACTGGAATACATTAGCGGCACGTAAATAAAGTCCACGAAACTGGTTCAAAACGGTTTTTGAAAATACAGTATAAAAAAGGGCAGAACCACGGCAGTCGGATGGAAGAGGCGGAGTGCTAATAAAATGCAGTCGCCTTCTTCGAATGCGAAATGAAGCTTGCCACACGTGTTATGTGCGTGTCATCGGCAACGTTCACAGGTTGCTTCGAATTTGTCTTGCATACTTTCATTATTATGCATTTTTGCTCCGGCAGCGTTAGCATTCTTTCACTTTGGGTTTTTCGAGGAAAGGCTGCCAAGAAACAAAGTTCGTGGGATGAAGGACGAAACACTTTGCCTATTTATCGCTGAGAAACTGATAAAAAAAGAGTGACAAACAAGACCGGAAAAGGATTCAATTTGATAAAAATAATGATTTCGTTTAACCTCCAATTCTGGAACGCGGCAAAGTACGTTGCAAACGGAAGGCACTATAGAGTTGCATAGTGAATCTTAGTACCTCCATTAAACACAGAAAACCCGGTGACACAGCGAGGATCTTCAAACTGAGTGCCATCAAAATTCACGCTCAGTGACCAAATATCGTCCTGGGCGCAATGGCTTGATAAATTCGCACTTTTGCATATGCACAAATCTGTACACACATCGCCCCATAATTTTGTTACACAAGAAAAAAAAAGGCAGTGGAAAAAAAATGTGGGAAAGAGTTGACAGGAAAACCCGGATGAGAGCACCCACTTTCAACGCCGTGCAAAGAAGGTGAAGGGTATATATAGTTGATAGACAATAGTCAAGTGGTAACGCAGAGCGAAACACCATGTCAGGTCCTGTTTAATATAGAGAGTCGATTTTGCAGTCTATTACCGGCGAAGGCGATGTTCTTGTTACCAGATATTTACCAGACCGCTTTATTCCGCAAACTTTTATATCTCGTAACAGATACCACACTCGGTACGAAACGCTGCTGGAACTTGATGTGGCATTCACATAACGAAGACGTACGTATCTCGTGTTTCGGATACCGAGCCGAAAGTGCAATAATTTCATTTTTCCTTTTCATTCTAAGTCTTATCATGTATTTATAGCAACTCATCCTCTTTCATAATCAGCACAAGGACTGGATTAAAATGTGAGGTTCACTAACCACGGTTTTGCTCGAGATTTCTTCAAAATAAAACCGAGAATCTTTCAGTCTTTCTAAACTAACAAGTACCATGAGAAAGAGACATTCATTACGGTACAAAGGCAGAGTTGTTACGCAGTACCTACGTCCTGTCTTTGAAAAAAAAAAAACAACAGGTCGAAGTGTTCGCGCTGCGGACGATAACATTTGTTGAGAGCTCCAATGACGAACTAGAACATGAAAGTGTGGAATACATTTTATATCTGAAAGTCACGACCATCATGAGAATTTCAAGAAATTATTTACAGCTCGGCACCAATGTCAAGCGTCCGACCAATTTCCTTGTAAAACATTTTTATACAAATATTGAATGATTATCCACAAATTTTGTGCCACTTTGGCGAGAGACCTTACGTAATACATTGTGAGCAGACGCTCATGACCTATTTTCTTCGGTTGTGCCTAATTGAGCCGCTGTGAACTCGACGTGGTTGATTGATTTGATTGATATTTGGGATTTAACGTCTCAAAACCACCATATGATTATGAGAGACGCCGTAGTGGAGGGCTCCGAAACTTTCGACCGCCTAGGGTTCTTTAACGTGCACCCAAATCTGAGCACACGGGCCTACAACATTTCCGCCTCCATGAATCGACGTGGTGAACATTGTGATCTATGAACCACAGCGGGATCTATGAACCACATTGCTAAGCTCTTCAAAAAGACTTTTCGGAAGCTTAGAGAACCGCCGACAACCATCTCATAATGTGACGTCACCCTTTGCTCACAGCCGCTTGCATTAAACGTACGTCCAATAGGACTCCAGTATGCTTGAAGTAATGTTTTGGGGAGTTCAAGATAAGTCGCATCATCCTCTAGTCCCGACAATCGAAATTGTTGTTCAGCAATTTTTAAATCGTTTTTTTTTACTACGTGTCGAAGCATCGAAGTCCTTAAATGATGTTCAGAAGCGTTTGAACCATGGCAACCGACAAGGACACGCGCACACACGTACGTTCAGTTTATTGTTCATCCCTGTAGCCTGACAAGCGCTTTCACTGGTTTCTGAATGACACCCGTGGCGTAAGGCACTAATGGTCCGTGAGCTGGCAGAAAATACTCGAATGCATAGCGGCCTTCTTGCGCCGTTAGGTCCTGCTTTCGCTTCTCGAAGTGCGCGGGAGAGGCCAGCAAGGGTTGAATGTAGGGCATTCCACGGTGAAAGTTGAGCACAGGCACGACGCGTAGCGGCAGCGTGGGGACTGCCTTGGGGACTGTCGGTTTTCGACGAGGCGAAGTGGTGGCGCCTTTCCGGTTTTTGCCGACAGAAGTCGCTGAAAGAGTCAACGCCGACAAGCACCCGTTGCAAATATTTTCTCAACGTCGGATAAACGGGCTGTGTTCTTCCCCCTTTTTTTTCAAGCAGATTATCGCTTATTATTCTGGGTAGCGACGGTGAAGCGATCGTTTCGTGGTTTCCAAGAAACTTGAATGGAAGAATATAATACAGCTAATTTTATAAAGGTTTACTTGTTTAACAATAAGGACACACCTACAGAGGTATTTGCTTAACTCTCCCTCTATCTGCGGCTCATGATCGAATATTGAAACACCAGGGATGTTAATTGACTTGCAGGGCGTGTTAAAACTACACAGTGAGAGGGAAAACAGGGACTTGATTTTCAAAAAATAAAATGTCTTGATGACCTATCAGCTACCACCCTCAGTGGTTGGCAATGAGAGATCGAAATACACAGCCGACTAATTACCGAAGCTGCGCTAACTAAATTTCTAGTTAATTTTTAAATACACAATATTTTACGAATTGCACACGCTAGGAGTAAGTGAAAATCCTATTCGAAAAAAAAATTCAGGATGGCATCTGTTTGCAGGCGGCCCTTCTCAAAGTGTGCTAAGAAGTGTGTTGGTCTTACTACTGTTTTTAGGCTTCACTGCATCACAAAAAAATTCACTCACAAAATATAGTACCAATGCATTTTCGTCGCGTGGCTTACGCGCATATCATGAAATCAGCTCCAACTTTAAGATGTGTTGCCCCCTACATACGAACAAGCTCTGTGTCACAGCGATGTTTTTGACCGACCTCTAACATTTCAGAGTTATAAAGCATCCTGTTTTTTCAGAAAAGTCCACGATGAATTGATGCCTGTCGTCTACAGAGGAGCTCTTTTGTTGCCACATTTCACGGAGAAATCGACACGTAAGCTGAGAAATGTTCTAGAAGAAGTTTAAAGACGGAATATGACTTAAATATAACTTGCAGTAGGTAAGTTTGCAAGCCTAATCATAGCAGCTGTCAGAGCACCTTCACCCATTCGGTTAGTGAATTGAATGTGTAGGAATTATTCGCACTTTTCTTACGTCCTTATATGGGAATTAAAAGCGCGAAAATGTTTTAATAAATCGTAGAGTTTTCCCGCCAGCATTTCAAGCTGAGCCAAGCCCCTGATTGGCGGCATGTTATACCAGTGTTGCGACGTCATTGTTTCTACCCTGCTAGCTCTCTTATTGTAACGTAAAAGTACATATAGCGTTAACGTCGCAAACAGTGGTTTGGTTCTGCAAGAGGCAACGTATGCGAAAATATAAAATTCAGTGCTTGTACATGATTGTGTATCTTTGGTGTCGAAAGGTTTCGTTATTGCAACAATTTAATGACTACGTTGTTTCGTTGTAACATCTGTATTCAGTTTTGTTATACGGAAATGTCATCTTGTGTTTATCCCTTCTGGTGTTTCGTGGTTTGTCTTAGGAACTGCGTCAAAACAAGGTTTGTTGCCACAACGAGTTCATTGTGATTTTGAGATGGCACAACACTTGGATGGTCGTAGAGACGCCAATGAGATGTAAGTCAAGAAATTAAGCTGCACGCTTCTTCTTACATGGAAAAATGTACTGTGATAAGAAAAGATTACCGCTCATAGAAAAATTGAGAACAAGTATTATCATTGTGTTTTATGATCTCTTTTATTAATGGCTTATGTATTTTCTTTTCTGTACGTTAAACGTTCGATGGGTGACTTTCGAAACCAATAATTTGAAGAATCGCTAAGTATCATTCATTTTCAAGCACTAAAATATATCTATATATATACACGTGACATCGTACTGCGACTTAAAGAACTTCCTGCAGTGCCCTCCATAAAAGAAGAACGCTGGAGGGAAAAAAAAACACCCCTACATGGTATTGTGTTATTTATGTAAGTTTTCTAGGCAGATACGAAAAATCGTGATATGCAAATGCGACCGTTCATATCCTCTTCATGGTCAGTGAAGTTTCACGTAAGTTACTCTGTCAAAATAAAAAAAAAATTGGCTGGCGAAATCTAGAAACAAAGCATAGTGCTATCGATCCAGTGCAGTTAAAATCACTTTCGAAAATTATTTAAGACTTGTGAGTTAACTGAAAGTACGCTTGTTACAAAGTCGATTGATTCGCTCTTAATCTGCTGCACTTTGCATCACAATGGGGTGCCGAGAACAGACAAAAAAGTTTTGCGCAAACAATGTAAATGGAAGCTTTTACTCGAAGAACGATGAAAGGGAGTAAAACAAGTATTTCGTTCATATTATAGCAGGTTGCGTGCTTCAACGTCTCATATCACGCATGTTCATGACCTAACTTTACCATAGTACCTGAAACAAATTCATTTCAGGGAAACCAGCTGTTCAAACACACACAGTGAATTTGCAAAAAGAAAAGAAAGATTCAGTGTTGTGAACTTGACCTTAGGAAGGAAGGAACGGATAGTAAGGAGAGGTTCGGAATGGGTTTAGGTTCGGGGATTATTGGGGCCACAATTTATTGAATATACAAAAACGTGGCTTCAACTACACTTTTATTCTAGTCATTGTCGTAATGCCCCATGTGGAGCCCCCAAGCCTAAATATCACTGCGTGAGCCTTCGGCACTTGAGGTACACACATACCCGCATTTTTTTTTTTTCATTTTTGGTTGTGGAACCTGCACACCTTCATGACTTGAAATATGCCCAGAATCGTACGCTCATAGGGTAAAAAAAATAGTCTCGACACTCGCAACCTGCACGAGTGCGAAGAGTGCGTGCTATCCTTGACTAAGGGCTATCGAACGAGCGTAGCACCTTTTTTCCGCAGCAGAAGACGTGCGGGAGGTGGTTCAGCAATGGAAGGATCTTGCTCGGTCGTCGGGGTTTCGTCTTCCTCGCTGGACTTTTCTTCCTCCGGCTTGGGCTCTTCCCTTTCCGGTTTCTGCTCTTCCTCTGGCTTCGGCTCCTCCGGCGCTGGTTCCTCCGGCTTTGGCTCTTCAGTTGCTGGTGTCTCCGGCGCGGGCTCTTCCGGCTTTGGTGTTTCAGGTGCTGGTTCTTCCGCCTTTGGTGTTTCTGGTGCTGGTTCTTCAGGTTTCGGTGTGTCGTCACCTGCGGGAGGCACACCCGCCCTGGGAGTCTCCCCGCCGGGCATCACACCCTCGTCCCCTCGGCCGCCTTCGTCTGGTGTCGGCAATGGTCCACCGTTACCATTGGGGCCTCCAGTGGGGCCTCCATTACCGCGACCTCCACCGACATTACAAACCGTGCACTCGGGGCTAGGTGGGAACGGAGCGCCAGGTCCGCCATCTGGCGCGGGCTCGGAAGGAGGCGGGATGTCGATTCCAGGTCCGCTATCCGGAATCACTCCTGGTACACCGGGAAAATGTGGCGGATAAATGGGTACATTGCCCGGATGGTGACCGGGTATCGCACCCGGAACTGAGGGTTTTCTGGCGGGATGATGACCGTGAGCTATGAGGAAGATCCGCGTTCGCACGAAGTGCGGGTGGTGCCCGAAGGGTACGTGGCCGAAGTAGGTTGGGTAAGGAACCAACACTTTGCCATGAAAGAACACTTTGCCGTGAGGCACGTCGTGAGAGTAAGGATTGATGTGCTGAATGATGTATGCGTCCACCGCTGACATCGCGGCCAACAGGGCAATGACCGTGTGCTGGAAAAGAAAAAAAGAATGAGTTGAATACCGTTGAACGGGCTAGAGGGTTCAATATACAGGCTTGTCGTCATTTAATTTTGCAACAGCAATCATAAAACTATAGCGGAAGTGATGAAGACTGAGCATTTCTAATTATCGAAACATAAAAAATGCATGTGTGTGAACGACTTCGGCACACCAAATAATATATATAATGGAATATCAATGAAAAACCGAGAATGGTGATTCAAATTTTGTAAGCCTATCACGAATTGATTTTAAGTAACAAGGTGTAGAAGCACAAACGGCATTTCAACACATTTGATGACCCCATAGCTTTGTAAGGTAACCTTTTATCTTTCTTGTCGTTGTGAAGAGACGCTACACCACATCCTGTGCGACTGTACATTGTATGACATCTAGAGACAGTCACTGGCGTCCGTTTTTACGCACATCGACAAGAGCCAAATGTCTGTGGACACTATTCTTTCAAGTGCCCGAAAGAGGACATTGCAACATAAGGCGACAAAAGCACTGTTGAAATTCCTACGCGACACGGGCTTGAACAAGCGGCTGTAACAGCAATGTCACACACCACGAAAGACAAGACTGGACTACGACTGAGTGTGCGCGCGTGTGCTGCCTAATGTGCTGTGTTTATTTCTCTTCCCTCTCTCCTCTCCATCTTTCATCTTCCCCATCCCCCTCCCATGCGCAGGGTAGCAAACCGGCTCCCTATAGGCTGGTTAACCTCCCTGCCGTTCTTTTCCTTCTATTTTCCTTCCTTCCTTTTATCTTTCTTCCGTTACCAAATTCGCCTGCGTTCACTTCTTCCCGCGCGTTAGATTTTCCAAATGTCAAGAATTCACTTCGTTAAAAGATTAAAACGACAGCCATGGTGATCACAAGTATTTAATTCTTTTATTTAGATCTCTAGCCCACTTGATTTCTATTCTTTAAACCAACATTGATTGATGTAGTTTTAGAAGGATGGGGTTTCTGGAACCCTAAAGGGAGCATGGCTCAGAACATATCGGTCATTGCGATATCTTTTTTTCTTGTCAATCAAATGGATGTAAACATTCTCCAAAAGGGGCCAGGTGGGACTTCCTATCCTTCGTTCTCGTTTGGCGCAAGCTTCTTCTTATAAAGTGGCACGTGCAGATTAGGAGATTGACTTTGTTCATTCTCGCAGAGACAAATACAATTACTAATTAAGTGTTACGTCCCACAAGCCCGATGTGATTACGGTAGAGGACTTAGTGGAGGGCTTCGGAAATTTGGCATGTGGGGTTCTTTAACGAGCCCGTAAAGTTCAACACATGGGCCTCCAGCATTGCACCGCCACAGAAATGCGGCCGCCAGGCTCGAAATTTAATCACGTGACACTGGGGTCGGAAGTCGACTACTATAAGCACCGTGGCGGGTGTCACAAAGGCGAAGTAGAACATTGAGCGAATATCGTACCTAATACGTATCCACAACCAACCTTCCCCAATTATCAGTTGGCCTATTTTGTCGCTTCTTGGTGTACACTTCATTTAAAAAAATGATTCAGCCGAGCTACTTGAAATGGCTACCAAGATATAGCACTTCACAGAAAAAACACTGACACATTTCATGGCGGTGTTTCACGGGGGCTCTTGATATCTGGAGAATGCAGCTATGACCAACCTACTTCTAGTAAGAGGAAACAAAAGTATATCTTTCGAGCAATACACACATATGGTGCTACAAATTTGTTGTATATTGTAGCTGGAACAACCCGGGTAGGAACGACCGCTGACTTCAGTCAGTACGCCATACTGAAGTCTGAAACTCCACGCCTGATTCAGGCAAAAAGCTGGAAAGCTGAAGTGAACGTGGTATTGTGTCAGTCAATCAGTATAGGAACTCGTTTGCAAATCTATGTTCTGAATTTTCATATATACCACGACACAACAGACTACACTTGTGTCTTTTATTTTTGAAGGTGCACTATGTGAACACAGACGCTGCACAGCACGAACAAAACACCGAACTCACACCATTGAGAGAGGTAATCCGTTAATTTCATATTGTGCCCCGTCTGTGTTCACTTAGCGCCTCTTCAAATATGAATTAATACCGACGAGACCAGCTTGTATAAGTTGCACTTACTTATATTTAAAAAATATTCAGCATACACATGCTGAATGTTAGTTTTGGCACACTCAATCCTGGCCCACATCGGCGAAGGGCGCGGCTGCGACGCGGCAAGCCCTCAAACGTGAAGACAGGTCCCGCTCTTACCTTGTGCATGGCAGGTGAAGACGTCTCACTAGCCGACGGTGACGACAAGTGCAAGAAGAGGCGACGAATGAAGAGGATGCCGCCAACTGTCGCCGAGAGCCAGGAAACCTGGCGCCGCGTACGCTCCTCGCGAACACAGGCGCACCGCGTGAAACACACACAGCCGGCGGAAGAAGAAAAGAATTATCAACCAATTTTCCCCCCGGACGGGCCTCGCCTCGCGATATTTATAAGGTGTACCTGTGAGAGGGGTATCTCTCCGGCTGCGACGAGAGGGGGGCGCGGCCACGGCACGAAAAGCCGGCTACCGCGTGTCTCTCAATTTTTTTTTCTTTGCTCGCGTTTGTTTGCTTGTTTGTTTTGCTTCGGTACCTGTGTTTTCCCCCCTTTCAACCGGCTCTAGCTGAACGAATCCTCGAGCGAAGACCGAAACTCGAGCTGCTAGCCGACATTCACTGAGTCCCATTCGGTGGCAAGGTCGATCTACACGAACGTGCTAAAACCCGAGACGCATTCACGCACGCGCGGTCATGCAAAGAAACCTTCTCGCTGCTTGCCCTCTCATTGATATGGCCCCTCCTTTGCCATGGTCACGTTCGTACGTTTCTTCTAATTCCCGAACGCAGGGATAATTCCCGGAAAAAAACACCGAGGAAAAGAAAAGCGAACGAAATGCAAGCTACCGGTAACGAAGAGGGTGATTATCCGCAAGCAGACTGGCTTTCCCCCCTTTCCATGAGACGACGGGGCCAATCAATGTGTTTGATTAGCGTCTCTCGCCCTCACCCGGCCACGTCCTCCCGGCAGGCTCCAAATCTTCGTCACGTGCTGGTGAAGTTCAATTGCCTACAGACCGTCCGCGTATTTCTCAAGATCGTAGACAAACTCAGTGTGTTGCAATCGGTTCGTCGAGTGGCACGGTATAGGAAGTTAATCGGTGTCGTGTACGCAGCGAGCGCGGCTGTTATGGCTAGGTTGCGTTAGCACGGCTCTACAATGCATAACCACGACGGGTTTAACCCCACATTGCCTGTTCGTGAGTCCGCCTTCAACCAACGAGATGAAAGCAGGAAAGCCATCGTTTTTGTTAGCACGATCTTACAGCTTGCCAAAAAGCAATTACTTTCGATTCATTTATGCCGCGATAAAGTATAACTTTCGGCCTATAATCTTCCCTGCGCCCCTGGCGAGGGCCGTGTGCAGCAGCATTCCAGAAACTAGTGACCGCAAGATCTGAACACTTGTCGAAAAAAAAAACTGGCTTTGGCAATTTGCCGGCTTAATGGCCACATTAGAGCGGTGACAGTCCTAGCGTTAATCTTCGACACCCTTCGCATACCATTCTTCTCGTGTAACTACGTTTAATAGCGCCAAACCAGAGATGCTTCTTTTGAGTCACTGCCACTTTCTTTCACATTGAAAGAAACCACAGTGTTCCTACTGATGGCTTCCTACTTGGTTAATTCTGCACCGCAGAGGCACGTAACTATGCTAACAAATCATCGTTTAGTATAAAAGACTGAAAGAAACAACTATCTACAAATGCAACAACTAACAAAACACGCTAACTAAATTTATGATTTACAAATGTCGGAAGGCTGTTACAAGGTATGATTAGGCATATTTGGTGCTATGATTGTATTGTACAAGAAACTGAACGTCTTCTCTAAATCATTCTTGCATGTTAGTTATTTCATACAGAATTAGCAATGTGATCCTGGAGCACGTTCCTCATCAGACCTGGAACTTATACCCATTTCATATCACTAGCACTTGATAATGTTAGGACAATACACGATGGCAAGGTAAATCATTTATTGGGCTAATAATAAGCAAAGAAAATGCGACACAAGGTACGGTATTGGTTCTAATAATTCCGAAGTGACCCTGACGCAGTATCCCTTCCCCTTTCATTGAATGGAAAGATTTATAGTTTTCCAGATATCATCTCTAAACAGCAGGGCGTTGTGACAGCCAATGAAAAGGGCGTACATACACACCCGTACGATTAAAAATCAACCATTGTCGTGACTTGTGAACTTGTTGTTGTTGTTTTTACCGTTTATCGAACGCCGTTGATTAAACTTCAGGGCTTATGTTGGCCTTGTTCACAGCCCTTTCAAAAAGTACTAGTGCCGAATTAATGAATGCTTACGTAACAATTTGTAAAAATTGGGACCAGACAAATAATTGGGCACCCTTGAGCACCCCCAGCTTCACTTATGTATAGTTTCTAATTCATCAGCCCATAGATTTGAGTGCCCTTCTCATTTAGGAGCAACCTCGCACTTCCAATTCACCGACTTCGATACATCTATAACCTACATCAAGACTTATTAGTGAGGCAATCGATTATCTTTAAAATGCACGCTCTAATAGGCCTTCGCCTACAAAACTGACAACGCACACATTTCAGCTCACATGCCGTATGCACCCGCTTATAAGCGCCACGTAGACATCAGTCCCATGTCTGCAGTCTCCTATTGGTTGTCGTCTCACAACCATAATCACGTGTTCGGCATAAAGAAGTGTGGGTAAGTATATGATTCAAGTTACATGTTGACAAGTAGCTGAGGCAGAGAGGTACTAACAACATTTATAAACATATGACTCCCTGGTCACTGCGTCTGGGGCCCATCGTCCAGGGTCTCACAGGCGACTGCAGCTCACCGGGCCTAGCTAACGATGAGCTTCAGGAGTGCTTCAACTTGCGCGTGTTGGTGAATCACCTTGATGGGGAGTGATGTGCACAATAGATGGAACACAAAAAAGAACACAGATCTGTGTTTCTTCTTGCGTCCCGTTTTTGGGGCACATCGCTTCACATCACGAAATGGCGAGCATGCTTTGTAAAATCAATAAACTCCCCTCATCCCTCCCAAAAAAAGAAAACAATGAACTATCCTCGAACAGTAACCGGTTCTATTCAAGGTTAAATATTGAAGTCTTATTCGGTTTTCCAAAAGTTTCCACTAAAATCGAGATAAAAGTGCCACCATGGGCGTTAGTGAAGACAGTCGGTGTGTCCAATATGAAACTCTTTATCCGGCCGAACATGTGACCGAAAAACGGAGAGTCAAACTACACCAAGCAATAACCACTGTACAATGATATTGGCAAAGCATTGGTCATCGATGAAATTGATCTGTGCTAAGTGCGCAGGCATTCATACATGCGGCATCGAACATTGGAGCGTTATCTCTGGTGGCCGTGTTTGTTCAACGATAATAAACTCAGCTATTCAGGCCTTCACACGCAATCCTAACAGATGATCCTAAAATAATCTGGTATGGTCAGAGACATTCTGTCGTGGTTTGCACAAGGCAGTATCCACACGTGAATTGATGTGCTGACATGAGATGTAGAAAGAAAGGAGCGTGTGGTGGCACAATTAAATCTTGTTTACGCTCGTATAATAATTCTTGTCTATGGACATTGTCGTGAGTTCTTTGGAACGGGTTTTGCGTACTCCTTCCGCATAGGAATGGCGGATAGCTACCGATGTGAATCATGCGACACGGACGAGACAATAGAACATCTACTGTGTCTATGTGAACGTTTTGCAAACGAACGCAACTTGCTACGCGAAACGTGAGAGACACTAGACGGTAGACCTTTTTCTGAAGAGAAGATCGTTGGTTGATGGCTTTACGCGTCGCAGGCCAGCAAAGCGACGCGGGCATTGCTAAGTTTTCTAAAGACGACTGGACTACGCGACTGCTTATAAGCGTGCAATGGACAAGGCCACATCTACACACACGTTGCCCTTCACTTCTCTCTCTCTTCTCCTTTAATCCCATCACCCCTTGCCCAGTGCAGGGTAGCAAACCGGACGTGCGTCTGGTTGACCTCCCTGCCTTTCATTTTTTTTCCTTCCTTCCTCCTCCTCCTCTTTTGCAACGGGCTTCACTTGATTTTAGTTTTGATATTTAAACGAAGTTAAATATTGTTTACTTATATCCGGTTTCAGAAAAACGGCACGCAATATGATGGCAGTGCGCACGATTGGACTTTCATGGCCCCTCACTTCTTTCTATTTCGATAATGAATTCATATTGTCATATACTCATGAAATTGGTAGACCGTATACAACGTACCCTGTTATGTTTTGCTGAAGAAAACTCTTTGGGCACGGGAGACAGGTTGTGTGCGATATAGTCAGGGCGCGGAAATTCCCTATACCTCCCAACGATGTATTCGCTCTCGGCAGTGACAGCGCCAATTTTACCACAGGCGGTTGCCGGACATCCAGCTATAAATAAATCAGGAACAGAAAGTGTCTTTCATGGCGTCACTGGTGACGTCTAGAAACAGAGGGAAAGAACGAAAAATTGAGAGCAGGAGGGCTGCTGTGAAAGCCCTCCTTTCCTGCTTCGCATGCAAGTAGAACGCTCTTGTGCCTTATTTCAGGTCCGTTGGCCGCTCGGGTGATGCGGCCCTTCGTAAAATTTTCTAAATCTTTTTTTTTAATTTGATTCTGTTCGTGTTTTCTGAAAAGGTGGAAGTTAAGCTGATGGACATCTTACTAAGATGAGACTCGATATAGGCACGAACAAAATTAACCTTTTATTGCACGTTTTGTATAAAAAGCCGACACACACGTAGTGTGAAAGTGTCAATCTATAAAAGCAGCTTTAACTTTCACCTGACGTACGGACATAATGAGCAAACGTTCTACCCGGAACATCCGAACCAACACAAAACTTATCAGCAATCACGAGTACGACACATTGTATTTGACACAATCACGTTCGTTATGACGACGAGACTATAGTTTTCTTACAGATCTTGAGTATCAAACGAGACTGAAGTTCGGAGGCGCAGAGAGGCCTGAAGCAATCAGAAGTTTTTTTTTGTGAAAGAATGTCGCTGAAAGAAGTGTTTCCGCATGATTACGTCAGGGCAACAGCGCTGTCTTGGGGGAAAAAAGCTCGCTTGTCAAAACGTTGGCTCCACAACATTCCCTAAAATTATATTTAAAAGCATTTAGTCCATCACCTGTACTTGAGTGGCACTATTAAAAGTAAGACCTCGCAAATGCTGACCCTCAGGTCATGGGATCGAATCCCAGCTGGGGTGGCTGCATTTCCGACGGAGGCGGAAATGCTGTAGGCTTGTGTGCCGAGACTCGGGTGTACGTTAAGAACCTCAGGTGGTCGAAATTTCCGGAGCCCTTCATCACGGCGTTTCTAATACTCATATGGTGGTTTTGGGACGTTAACTTCCA